CCAAAACCAAGACTTAACATGCAAGACCAAGACTATGTATGCAAGAACAAGACCAAGATCAAGACCATGCAACTCTTGGTCTTGGTCTTGCTCGAGTAAAACTCGTAGTAACTCGAGTAAACAAAAAAGTGTCGTAGTAAAACGAAAAAATACAGCAAAAGTTAGTAAATTTCGAAAAAAAAAACTGTTTAGTATGGAAAGATCTTCTTCTTCCTTACATTCATTCTTTTATAAAATGTCTGTTAGTTTATGTAGCTAATTGATTTTATATCATTTATTGCAGGTAGCGCCACAAATCGACTTCAAGTGCCTTTATCTAACAATTCTGGAACTCTTAGCAATAATTCACAGAAAAGTAGTCCCGATTTTTATATCATCAAGGTGAGTAATGTATACTTTCGTAATAACGAAATGAACCTTTCGAAAAAGCTTGGATAATTTTCTTTCCGACTAAGAACTTATCAGTTAAATCCATTCAACTAGTCTGAAATATTAGAAAGTTAAGGATTTCAAATTTTTACGTTCGTTTATTCGTGATGTGCAATGATTTAGGAAGCAGTCGAATTGATAAATTAACTAAACATAACCGAAATAAACTGTAGATAAGAATAGATTATTCAAAACCATGTCAGTAATCAAAAGCCTGTTGAAAATCTGAGCATTTTAGTATCAAAAGTATACCACGTCTAGGACATCTTTATTAAAACATGCGAAACAAATTCTCCAAACCTTGCCAATGCGCTTAAGCAAAGCAAACTGAAGACATATTTATTATCTATGTAGGTTACATACGAAACAGACAATCCAGAAACAGAAGGAATAGTCTTATACAAGAGCATAATGCTTAGTAACAATGAACGGACACCCCAAGTAATCCGAAATGCGATGTATAAGCTAGGGTTGGAAGGAAATCCCGATCAGTATACACTTGCTCAAGTATTACCAGATAAAGGTAAGTGATCTTTGAATGAAACCGCTTAGATGATTGAATCTAATGATAAACGTTTTGCCGTTTTAGAGATGACCTTGCCTTCAAATGCGAATGTTTATTATGCCGTAAACACCGCCCACAATTTGAACTTCATTCTTCGTTCCAAGCCAACTGATCTTACTCCCACTGGCAAAGGTCTGAAAGGAAAGTCTAAATCATAGCAAATGTTGAGATGGAACACTTTTGTCTAGTGAGAGCCAAGTACGCTCACCATCCGTTTATAGTAATTAACTAAACTGCACAGATAAAAGTGGCCCTTATAAGTTATGTAAATAATGTGAATCCTTTTTATAACAAACATAACATCTGTGATAAAAGTAATGCTATACTCACTCAGTAATCATCACGCCAAGTAAATTATTTTTTTATTTATTTGACAGTATAGTTTCTATACGAAATTAGGTAATTTTGGTATTAGTAAGATCTACGAGTTTGTCGATGTGATGTTAATCACAAATAAGCTCTTTTGAGCTCTAAGTTGAGCATAGGAACCCAAAATAGCATGGAATTTCTCAATCGAGTACTATTTCAGATTTAATATGTCCCAGTATTCAGAGAAACATAAATTCAAAAGGGGGTAGATGTTTTATAGTACAAAAGAAATCTAAAGTGTATGTATTTCAAAGGTAAACATGAAGTAAACCATAATCTATAAACAGCTAGCAAAAGCAACAAGAATTTATTATAATTTGCTCAATAACGCATTGATAATGATTAATGATTACGAACGCAAAAACAACATAATATTCAGAGCAAACGCTTTTTATTCGCCTCAATTTCTTGTCTGTGTTTTTTTTATCAACAAGAATACGGAGGAAAATGTTTAACCGTGTTTATCTTTTAAGGAAAAGCACTGTAGAGCCAATTGCTCTCAAAATAGAAGACATGTCGTAAGTACATTTGGCTGTAATAAATAAAATCGACAAGCTCTCGAATGTTCGGCATCTGCTGATAATTATCTGTTCCTTACGCAAATTAGACTCCCAAACATATCATATTCGAGTCACTGAGTTTTCATGGTGTCTATAGCATTTTGTCTTATAACAAAGGTATAGTCAATGGTCAATCCCATTAGAAAATCGGTTGATAGTCAAAACCTACCTACTTTTTTAAGTTAACAGAACCAATTCTGAGGAAACCTGGTAAATATTTTAATTTTAATTGCCCCAGTGTAGAAATTTTGTTCTTAATTATTTAAATTAGACACTAAACAATACGGTCAAAGCTAAAAACGTTTTCCGGATTACTGAAGGAAAATGCTTGCACTAAAAAATGTTTTTTGTCGTCATCTTCTTGCGTCTCTGGCCAACACTTTAGAATTATATTAGTTCGTAGTTTTTTATTACCGTTTGTAGCATTGATGTTGATGCTCGTGCATTATCTATATATTTATCATGTAGTGTTTTTGCAGGTAGGTAACCTACCTACAGAAAAACTACTAAAGACTAATACGTAAAAAAACGTAACCTATTCAACTTTTGGAGATTTTTCCTCTTGGAAGCTACAAAATATCGGCAAATATAATATTTCAAATACAATTTTTGATAACTAAAATATCAATGTTTTACTCGAAGCATCAACAAGATTTTAACACGCACAATATGCTCGAATGGATAATAATGCAAATATTTTTGTAAGCTTTATATTTGTGAAGTATATTGTACAATATTATAATAAATCGGGTCTCAAAAATAAGAGTTACGTGAACTAACCAAAGATAAAAATAGTTTAACTTCAAATGTTGGTGGGTGTAATTAAGAAAGAAGTGTTACAAGCCCAGACCGTCTCAATTATAGTTACCTTAAAACATTTCGGTTTCAACCAGAATAAAAAATGTCTTCATTTGATATTCCATTTTTAGGTTTCCTTTATTTAATGTCTCTCTATTATTATGGGGCCAATGGAACTAAACCTATAATACTCTACATCCTATACATATTTAGTTAACATAGTAATAAGCCCTATTTTCTTATAAAACAATCTTTGGTTAAAGCTTTTTTTACTGTAGAAATATATTTATTATCCATAGAAGAATACGAATGAGTTGAGTGTGTACCTAGCTTAGTTGCTCTTAGATCTGATCATCCTGAATTGTGGTACTTTAGTACTATTTTTTAGATAATGCTAGGCAATAATAAGTCCATAGAAATAGGCTTTTTGTAAAAATTATACAGTTGTATTTTTTCAATAAACATTTTTTAACAATACCCGCAGCATTTATGTAACGATAATGTAGATTTTGTCAGCGAGTCGAATCCATCCAATAATTTAATATTTTTTCACGAAAATCGCGAACAGAAAGAGCGAGAAATATCTTTATTTTGCGTAAAAATATTAATTTGAAAATAATATTCAATTCATAAACAATAAGTCTATTTAAAAATTCAGCCAGCAAGTTTTTGGAAAAGCGCTCAATAGTCATTTAGTCTTTCAAAACGCGCCTATTTTGCCATTGAAATTTATAGAGCGTCTCAATTGTAGCCATGGGCCAAAAATGTAAACTTCTTCAAATAAATCAGAAAAATGCCGGAATTTTTTGGTTGGCTACGCTATTGGCAAAGGTCTTAACGGGTGAAGACTCATATTTGAGAAAGGAAACTTTATGTAAGAGTATATGGCCTAAAATAGAGCGATCGCAACATTTACTGCTGATTAGTAAGTGAAATTCCTACATTTCTTAATAAGAACCAATAAAGAGTTAGATTCCTCTCTTTCGGCAAAAACGACGGAATGCTAGCAAAATAACTAAATTGAAAATAATAGTAGAAAGCTAAACGAAAACATCATAATTAGTAAATAAAAATATGTTAGGAATTTCTTTCATTTATTCATAATGTAGTTAGAAATGAAAATATGAGTAAAATAAATAAAATATCATGATATATGAAACGAATAAAGCTGCAAGAAAAAGYTGTTATTAAWAAATAGAGACATTCTCAAGAGTTACCTAGTGTACCGCAGAAAAATGGTATGTTCGGAATGAAAAACCTTGTAAGTAGTAAATTAMAATATTTTTAATTTACCTACCATTTGTGAAAAGAAATCTTGTCAAATCCGCACAAACCACATTAACAATGCCGCAAAAMGGCAACMAAAATTTTACAACAGCCATACATTACATAAAATGAGCATAGGGACCGCTTAAAAATTGAAAATGGAAATTGTAACCGTGGMTGCCAWWWACTACWAACAAAAATAAATTGCTGTTCGGATGTAGACMGCTAAAATCCCCTAAAACATTGTCAGGCCAAMCGCAAGTCTGATCMCAATCTTGATCTGGATGAGTTACACCTTAAAGGGCGCTGAAAGGCAAAAACTAGAATAGTTGGACGAATCCTGGCCGCTGGAATTATTTAGCACTAATAACAAAATAAATTTGGAAAAATAGATCAATATCTAAATAAGCAGGCCAGGATCACTTGCAGCCTTTTTGAACGCTCAAAGCAATCAACAAAATCCACTTACCTTTAAGCACTTTGGTCTGGATTCTGGGTTATTTTYACGTTTGATGATGACAAAAAKTTYAATTTACAACAGAAAAGCACTAATAATTGATAGATTTACTTTGAAGACAATTTTGATTTATTTTACCGACTGCGTGTAATTGTTATTATATTCTTATCTTTYCTGGGTCTCAGTCAAAGTGTGAAGTAAAAATTTTGAATATCGTTTATTTCATTACGTTGGGGCGAGACAACAGCGCATCATCAGATTTAAAATTKWCACAAACTACAAACACCAAKTTAMAATTAAAACATGTTGTATAAAAACTATAATGTATAAAGCGTTAAAASATTCATCAGTTCTTGAGAAAAAAAAGACTTAATTYAGACAAATTTAAGGTTTTAAGAAGGCAAATACCTAAAAGAACGTTATCTTTATCAATTATGAGGTAAGTTTTTCAAATGTTTTGCTCTCCCAAAAGGAAGGACTTTTTCCCTCACGAACTGATGAATGTTTTAACGCTTTATAAAATATAGTTTTTACACAATATGTTTTAATTGTGAATTGGTGTTTGTAGTTTGTGTAAATTTTAAATCTGATGATGGCGCTGTTGCCTCGCCGAAACGTAAAGAAATAAACGATATTGAAAWTTTTTTACTTCACATTTTGACTGAGACCCAGGAAAGATAAGAATATAATTTGAAGACAATGCAACGTATGTTCATAACCAAACGCTCTTATTTTAAATTTTAATTGAAAACATTCAGATAATCTAGTGTAGAAAACCTGACTAGTGAATGTAAAAGATTGAGTACAATCTCTATTGAAAATACAAGAACCGTCTAAATGATGTGAATGATTCACAGAAGAGAAAATTAAATAACACAAATTACGTTACGCGACAAACAAAAGTGTAGTTCACAGCAAAACGCACACAAAATTTACGTTTATAATGCATGAGTGCATATGAAAACAGTCTGGACTGGACAAACATGAAACAGTCTGAACAATGAAAACAGTCTGAACAACTGTAGAAAATCTCATTACTTAACGTATATCTGACTTTAAATTAATTTTACAGAAATTGCATTTGAAAATGTAAACTTTCCCGAATCCAGAAATTCCCATGTCGTTCCTCTTCGAATAAAAATAACGCGTTAAAATACAATATAAATCATAAAATACAAGATACATGAAATTGAAAGGGATCTACATGGCAACTAGGGCAAAATAATGCCAAACTTACCGAATGCTGCATAGAGCCACCTGAAAATAAATAAAAATATTCTTTAGTAGGTATAACGGAAACTTAGTTCAAAGCCTGATTATTTGAATACACCAATGGGAGAAAGGGAAATAGAGAAAGATAGAAAACTTCAGTTGCTTCTCGAAAAAATAAACTCAGTTCAAGCAAAGGAATTTATAGAAAGATATTCTTCTTACCAGCTTTACGCAGACTGGAGGCTCATTTTCCCGCAAACAGTTCACACTGCACCTGAACACATATTTAAGATGCACTCGAAATTGAAAACTTTAGTCCAGCAGTTTAAACGACCAGGAAGGTCTACAGCAATTGCCCTAGTGATACCAAATCACTGTATCCCGGTACGGCAAAAGAACCGACCACCTATTTCTTTGGAAGTCCGTAGGAAACTAAATTTGATCAGCTTTCCGGAAAAAAACTCATGCGATGTTGAGTTTTATACCTACGACTTTCCGAAGGCATGATGATATAATCGTCCCTTCGATGAATCATTGCGTTAGTTCGCTGTTCGATGTCGGTCTTTTGGTTGTTGGCAATGTTGTAGAAAGTTCCAGTTCATACGGCAGTATTTTCAAAGGTAAGTTTTACTTTTAAATTCGTTTGGATGATCGCCGTTTAACAGAATAATCTCACTACAGCATGGGCCGTCCATCTTCATTCATGTCTTCGGACAGTCTTTTGCTCGATTTTATGAAACTTTGAGCGTTTTCCACAACCACATTCCAGCCATGGATTTGTGATGATTGCTTCTCTTTGCTCGCATGTTCAGAGCGAAGGAACAGGGAACTTGAATTTCATACGATCACTGCCTAAATAACAGCTCCATGTTCAAGTCATCACATAATTTCAAAAATTCTTCTTTTTCACACACTATTAAGAGCGGTATTCGATCCATTAACAGCGTCGGAATATTTAACTGGATTTTGGCAAACCGCGGTTGTGTCAAAATTTTTGATATAACAGGACGACCAACCATATTTAAAAAAAAACTAACAAATCGTGATTTAGAAATCTGCAATATGCACCTGATACCACTAGTTTTTTAAAATTTCAAGATAACCTTATCAATTACTTCCGGTAAATGACAAAATATGACAGAAATTTCTGAGTGTTGCAAGTTGAGAGTGGTGAGAGAAAAATTAACATTTATTAATAATCAACAGTTGAAGTGTACATGGACAACAGTAATTGGTATTCCCTAAGGCCTCAGAAGAGCAAAGTAGACTGACTGACTGTCTTCTGATCCGAATTGAGAGACTCACTTATCTTGAGTTTGGTAAGTTAATTAAGTTTATTTAATTGTGAATTTGAATTTATCCAAAATCCGCCACTAAGAAACAAGGAAATGAGGAAAAAATTAAACAAAACGATATATAAATACGGTTTATTGCAAAACAACATTTTAGGCAATATACCAATAAGTTCTAACAATCAATACCATTAAGCTCTATTTACAATATGACATCATAGTTACTAAACATTATCTCCTTTCCTATGCTATACATTCTATACATCAGTTCAAAGAAATCAATATATTAAATATTTAATTTAAAGTGTCGCTGTGAATAAAATGTCACATAATACAAAATTAGAATTGAGATCTCGTTAAATCCTCTACTTGTGAATTGATAAGTTATTAATACCACATGTTTGGCACGATTTCATTAATGGAAGTAATTGTTAAACTAACAGAAACTTATTGCAAGACAAAGCAAAATTTCCATATCGATTAATAAAAATTGGAATCACTGGGAAATAAAAGGAATTATGAAACAACACGAAAGTAATAAATACAGTAAAACTAGTAAGTATTAAAAATCAATATGAAACTTGTTTTATCTCACAATTAACAGAGAACGAAACATTGCAATAAAAAACAACGGTATCTAATTACCATTTAAAGGCTGGCAGCAATGATAAAAACAAGAAGCAAGTCAAATTACGAATTAATCGAATACTTGATAAAAAGCAAAAAGTAAATTATTGTTGGGTCAAAACTTATCCGCAATTAACGTCCACCGATTTTTACCGACACTCGACATAAATATTAATTCTGATACTTAATAACATTTCAAGTAATATCTTAACAAGAAAGTTATAATAAATAATGAACAATTTACATCAGTCTTGTACACTGTGATGCTTCTCTAACATTAACTGGACTTAATCAAATAGCTGCATTTTTTAATCAACATTCTAGAACTAATAATTAACAAGAAGCAATCATGGTGTTTTACAAATATTCAGAAACATTTCTATGTAGATGAAAACAACGAAGAAACTAGCTAGTTCAGTTGGTGATTTAACTTATTTGAACCCACATTTAGGTGATTGCCATTGAATAGACGTTTTTGCAACGATCAAATAATTATTGAACCAAATAGAACGGAAAATGTCATCAACATGAGAAACAAACATACTTAATATGCCTTGCGGAATGCATTTCCCAATATTAAATCTGTCATTATTGAAAACGTAATTAATTATTTAAAAAAATGATATATGTATAAAGCAACATAATTTTGGTACTAGCATAGTATATTTTTTATTCCTTTTTACAGAATTTTGTTAAAAAAAAGGATATCAAATTCACGGCTGATCGCCTGCAGCAACTAAGAAACTAAAAGGATGACCAAAATACCCCTTCATACTTACACGAATATACTACAACTTCATTACATAACTTAATATGGCTTTTAACAGATTTGTTTTAAATCCTTAAACTCTACAACACAGCACAAACTTTGCACGTAATTCCTATCAGAGCCGCTAAAACTCTGCCAAAAAGTAAAAAAAAATCACTTCTGGTTTTCGGTTCCCAAAGTCACAACCCCATTTTTTTGACAAAGTGTTAAACAACCTTTAGGAAAGATTGTATTTCTAAGCGATTTTGCATCGACCCTTAATTTAAAAAATTGCGACGTTTTTGGGAATATAAAAACGAAAGAGAAATCGAGACGAACCAAACTTTGTTTGTCCACAAACGCGTTTTGCCTAGAACTGAAACATATATAAAGTGTTACATATAAAAGAATACATTTCAGCAAAATTAGCTTAGAAACCCCAGAGCTGGGAGACTAGAGGTTTGAACAATTAAGGACTCTTAATTTTTCAACAAAATTCTCCCGATTAACATTTGAACATAATTAAAATACAGATCTTGACCTAATTTGCTGTTAAAGATCAAGTTTTAAGTTGGAAAATGTGCTTTTTTAAAATAAAGAAGTTTCGTCGTCGCAAATTATACTTTGAGGAACCTGCTGATCGCAGGATCTCGGAATCCAATCTCTGTCTTCTTTAGCTAGCCAAGGATGGTATAGAATGTCTTCAGAAGTAATTCGTTCGGATGGATCTCTCCTGAGTAGGGATCGAATTAGGCATCGTGCTCTTGCTGATACACATTCTGGTATTACGTAGGAACAGTTGGAGATTTTTGCGAATAAATTGGCATGGCCCGCATCATTGAATGGGTACCTAGAAAGACAAAAAGAATAATTAATTCATTTTCCTGAGGGATCTGAAATGTATTTAAACAACTAATTAGGAAATTTGAATCCGAGCATTTTTTCTATCAATTGAATTAGGTAGTTAAATAAATATAAATTTATTCAGTTAAAAACATCACGTTCAAGTTCTTGCTTATTTAAAAATACAATTATATATCCCGCAACAATGTCAATGATGATATCCAAATATTTCATTTCACAATTACAAAGACTAAAATATTGGATTTCCTCTACTCTTCCAAACTGATTTATAGCCATGTGTTTTGTCTTGACATTGAAATCATATGTTTGAGTTTACTCTACCATGAAGTCATATGAGTTTTCACACAAACAAACTCCCAAGGTTTAAAGGGGGAGTAATGCAGAACATACATAAGAACAGGAAACATATGGCAGACGTAACGGCAAGTAGATATTAAAATTTAAAAGAATGGACTCGAATCACCCTTTTGTTGGGTTGGGGGGCGACGCCATTCTTCGGATCACCTGCGTTGGTATTCAATTGTCATATGGCAAGTCCGTTACGCATCATGGGGTGTTCACAAGAAGACACTAATATCATTTAAAAAATCTTTTTCTTTGCCGTATATTTAATAGTCGAACAATTCCTCAACTTTGATACTTTGTTGCGTTTTCTAAAATACTAGATTGAATCTTAAGATGGCAAGGAACAAAAAAAATTGAAAATTTTGGACAAATCCTCATCTTTTCGATTCAATGAACTTGAAAATAATTAAACTTCCTCAATTTTTTTCTACTCAAATGGCATCATACGATTTGAAGGTAATCAATGTAAAAACCAGCGGTGCTTTAAAGCTGAAACAATACGCAGCCAATTACTATTTGTTAAGGCGTATGGGTGGATATAAGCACGCGAAAATTAACTTAATTAAACTTGAATACCAAATTATATGTTAATTAATTTAAAACTTGTAAATCGGCAAATCAGCGCCACCAAAATCGATGCAAGCCGTCAAGACCTCAACGCCAAGGCGACTTGTTAGACGATAATATATGTATATTATAGTTCCATGAAGGTGTATATTATTATGTAGCGTTTCTCGTTATATCTGATCTATAGTTGAAATTTACCTTGGACTTGCTAATTGTAAATAATATTTCATATTTCTATTATAATAGCTGTTAACACATTATTAGATAATCGATTGTTCAATGGCATTTAATAATGTTTTATAATTAATTTGTTTCAGACCAAAGGTTTTTTATAATCAATTACAAGTTATAATTGTTACATACGTGCGTTGTCCTCTCACTACATTCCTTTTAGGTCATTTGGATGAAAGTTAAAATATATGCAGGGTGTTTTACGAACGAATCATTCTTTGTGTGTCGGTAAATAAATTTTTATGTTAGCGAGTTGAAAAAAGGCCAAAAGTAAACTGAACTGCATTGGATCAGCAGCGATCTGGCCAAATTTCCAAAATTACTAATACAATCCATATAAATACGTCGACAAATGTTTAGTTCTCGATATGTAGAAGATTTAATTTAAATATGACTAAACACATCTTGCTGCAAGAGAACGCACATATTGTACTTTTGTGTAAAAATACGTTAGTATGTTAACAGTTTTCCAAATATTTGCATTTTTATTGCAATTATTCCTCATCCTATTTACTTAAAAAAATGCTTGAGTTTTAGAAAGTGCAAATTTTAAATCATTTTATTAAAAAGCGCGAACATTCTCCATTATAAATATTCTGGATATATCGACTCGTAAAATGTTGTAAAATGACAAAAAAAATTGGGCATTCTGGATTCGACCTAATAGATTGAAGATATTGTTTACATTCATTAAACCACCTCGTAAATGTTGCTAAAAATGTTCAAACATTGTTACATATTTGTACTTTTTGGAAATAATCATAAAATAAAAGACTAATTAATTACAAATTAAATAATCAACAATCAGGTTCGTGAGTTATATGGAGCAATATATTCCACAAAAAAATATCTTAAAAAAAACGTAAACCTATTTAACTTTCACTAAACATGTTCAAAATAAAACCAAACAACAATAAATACGAACAAAATATGTGCATTTAAATATGCTACAACAAGAAAAAAATTAGGAAGAGATAAAAAGACACATTCCACATTTTTTTCGATTACCCCTTCGAGCTTGTTGACCCGCACCTGTTCTCTTGCATGTAGAGATGGCCGAAGTCCGATTAGAAATAATGAAACAAAACAACCCCTCCCAAAATGCCGATAAACCCTTGAAAAGGCACCACCTGCCTTAGTGAAAGAACCCTTTTAACATTCACAGAGTTTCCACTGATAGAGGGTCATTTCTTTACTGAATTGTTTGAACTTTGTGGGTGGATGTGAGGAAAGTAAGCCCAGAACTGCTGTCATTTAAATACCATACACGCACTTAAATATCACAATTCAATTTAATAAATCTAGTTAAAATATAGAGCTTGTCTAAAATGATAAACTTGGTGGAAGAAAAAGGTTATTTCGCAGGTAAAATATAAACAGTTGTTCCATCCCAAATCGTAATGGGAAACAAATTTCCAATTTCCAAACCCATTTAAGCGCATTTGTAGTGTCTTATCGGATTAATTTTGGAACCTTTAAAAGCTGCAGATGGGAAGTATGTGAAGAGCATGTGCCAGCTTAATACACTGCTGAGCGGTTTTATTTTGTTTCTTCAGTTGTGTATATGGACAATATTTATTTACTTCTTGACGTTGATAAATTTATTTAATTTTAATAATCATTTTGATATTGTCTTTAAGTTAATGTTTATATTTTTTTGATTAAATGGATTACTTGGTGAAACTGGGAAGTTTAAGTGTGAAAGTGTGTTCCAAAAAACTGTTCATGAAGAAACAGAACAATGGAAAAAGCATTAATGAAAATATGTTTCGGGGTTTTCCATGTCAAAACTAAGTATTTTTAGTTCACGAATAAAGATATTGATACAACCAATAAGAAATAAAGTTAACAAGAGGTACAGCTTAATTTAAAAAGTTAAAGACGGCTTTTAAAAACAGTTTGATCGCATGTTTTTAAGTATTAAATACTTAGGATTTAAGTTTTTGAAGGTAAACTGAACAGTTAGAGCAAATGTTTTAAAGATAGGGAAGTACGACTAAGTTCCACTAATATTTTAATTTAGATATTAATTAAATGTCAAACTAGAATTTAAATATGTTTTCTAGCTGCGAATGCTTCGAGTGATTTGTCACATTTTAAGAGTGGTTTTTTAGCCATGATAATTAATAAATAAATAAAATGCGGTAATAATTCTTAATTTTCATTTTTGAAAAACGCATCAACTGAAACTGCTCAGCAAAAACGCAGTAAAAGTTGTGCTTCGTATTTCCAAAATGAGCTCTTATGCAAAAAAGCGTTGTGTGAAAAATGCTTTGCACTGCTTAATAAGAGCTGAGTGTCTTATTTTCCACATTCCAATACAGAGTCTTTAATGTCCATTGAGAAATCATCCTGCGAATATTTTGCAGATGATTTCCGATAATTAGCAGGAGTATTTTTTGCTATTATAATGTGCGTTCTGGCAACACTTTTGTTAGTATAGATGGTAGCTCTTTGGTTGGACAGTGTTTAAGATCATGCGAAGACTTAAACCTTCTCCAATCAAGATTGCAGCACGCCACGCATCGATTTCGTGAAGAACCACCTGCCCCTCATACATGACGGTAGCCGATGGCGTAGCATGAGGGCTGCATTAAAAGTTTTTTTTTTGGATTTTAACTTTCTTTATCTTCGAGTTAACGGCAGGTGTTTTGCGATACCTGCTGCCATCATTGCATCTTTAAGCCTTTGTTACATTGGGATTTCGTTAAGAACGCGCGTACGCCTCTTGAATAAGTTTCAATATTTTATGTTCTAGAGTTGGAAATTAATCTTTAATGGGCTCTGCAGATAGTCGTTCAGACAAATTTGTATTAACTGGGAAATTCGTTAATTGACCTGCCCAGTAATGGTTCAATTTAACATTTTTCATATTACGTTATGGTGCTTGGAGTTCTGTCAATAAAATATTGCCCACCCGATATTCCAACCACTTATCAGCGGCAATTCCAGTATTAATCTGCTAATCCCATAAGTAGTCATTAAATGGGGAGACACTGCCATTACTCACACAGTAGCTGAAGACGCTCGTGTATAAACGCAAATGCCCTTGCAACTGGTTTTACAGACAAACGCATGTTTCAACAAATATTTAATAAGATATTATTCAGTAGTACTTATGTGTTCTACAATATTAGGGGAATAGAGACACTGTAAAATGTCTCCCAGACAAAAAAATGAATAGTCTACCGAAAATGCTTGTTTTTGACTTACATCTTATTTTACTTGAAAATAACACTTTTGTTTGACATAGAAATGTTATAATGATTTCTTAATGACTATTTATATCACTTATAATTAGCTCTGGCCTAGCCTGGATGCTTTTTTATAATTCCGTTCCCTATAATTGTATTTTGAAACTCACTAATGGGTCTTAAAAGATCTGCTGGTTGTATTACACATCACATCAAAGATACTAATCTAAAAGACTTAGATCTGCTGATCTAGCTGGCCTCTCGACCACGTAGGCAAGATAAAACAAGTTTGCCATTTTTTCAAGACATGGAGACAAGAGAAAATGGGTAGCTCAAAGAGTTCAAGTTCAAGTAATCTATATAATCGTAACTTTCCGTTCGCCTTTGATTAAGATTGTGTAAAGATAATCATGCAAATTTCCAGGTAGAACATCGTGATAATGAGTGAAGAAGGCTATGGGCTGATGTTTAAACAAGTACAGGAAAATTACAATTCAGCTCTCATAAGAGATAAACTCAAACAAAAAATAAGTTGTTTCAATTCAATTTAGTTGGAAAAAATTAGCTAAACTTTGATGGAAAAGTTGCCCACGAAGTAAAAAACTAGCAAATATTCAACAAGGAACGCGCCTGAATTAGTTTTATACAATATTGTCGTATTATTCCTTGAAGCTTTGCTTGAGCTTGAACATTTGAAAGTTCCGGAAACTTTCCGTCGGCCGAGGTCCCAGGAGCTTTAGAAGTTTTATACATTTTGCAAATAGCATTCTATAGTGAAACTTGGGCATAATAAGCGTCATTTTCGCATAGAGTAAATACAAAATTGATACGATGTAAGTTTGAAAGTTTCATGGAAAATTGGGAAAAGTGTTTTAAAATTCTTCGCCGAGTTTTAACAAAATCCCCATGTGTGATTGAGTTGCTATTGTCTTAATGATAGATGAATACAGATAGATGGTGTCCACTACTAAAACTATATTTTTTTAAGAATAATCAGTGGAAATAATTTGCAAATGCGCTACTTTATTTACAAATGCCTAAACCCCAAACAACAGCTTACAGCAAACAGTAGCTTACAACTTTCACCTTTTTTAAACGGTAAAAACTCCTGATTCTAACGAAATTATCATCAAAATGGCCCATGATTGTTATTTTTACCAACTTAATGAATTTTCATTAACAACTCGCCCTTACCAATTCTAAATTTCGAAAAAAGGGCAAGTAGTAACTTGATTTTGTCACAGTTATTAGAAGATATGTAACCCTGAAAATGCTCAAATTTTCCTCAAAATCACCGAAAAACGTGCTTTTGCCAGTCTAGTCATGTGAGGTCTCAAAATTAAAGTTTCAACCCAAATGCACGACCTTCATTAAGAACGCCTAAATTCCAAACTAGATCAAGTAGCAACTTGAAACTTGCACAGTTCGTTGAAGACATTTAGCGGCTGAATTTCCATCCTGATTTCCAAGCAAAAATCCAGATTTTCGCTTGCTTAGTAAATGTTGCTCTTGAAATAGACACTTTCCCCTTAAGAGGCTGTATCATTTGAACGTTCCTGACTTCCAAACTAGAGCAAATATAAACTTACACATGCCTTAGAGAAGACTTGTTGAATTTTTTATCGAGCCCTTCTAGATTCCTGATTTTTGTTTGCTGGGTAAACGTTGCTCTTGAAATTAATACTTTCCCCCTAAGACGCTCTATGCTTTGACAACCGTAAAAGCTCCTAAACTAGAGAATGTAGCAGCATTTTGAAAATTTCAGTTTTTGGAAGGCACTTGACACTAAAAATGCCCCATAGTTCTGACTTTAGCATGCTTGGTTGATCTCAAAATGGAGTTTCAACCCAAAGGAACTCCCTCTTAGCTCACAAACTAGAGCACGTAGCAACTATGACTTGCGTTGTTTGTAGAAAACGATTGACTTTAAGCATGCCGAATTTACTGGGTACCGATGGGTTACCGATGGTCTCAAAACGGAAACTTTAACTCAATGCACTCCCTTCTTTAAAAGTTCCTATCTTGCAAACATCTGGGGCAAGTAGCAAGTTGTTACACTTTCACTTTTCGGAAATTATCATGAAATCACTCAAATGTGGTAACAGCGTGGAACTAGTTGATGTAAAATATGGGCGAAAGCGAAGTACAGTTTTCGGAAGTATTGTTTTCGGGCTAAATCCAGCTGATGACCGCTAATAGACTCGAAACCGATTCTGGACGTACCTGAGATTAGCACATCTCGCCGTTCATTGTTCTTTGATTTTACATTTGCTTCTTCTAGTACCTCCGACTGGCTTTTAATAAATTTAATTACTGCATTTGTCGACTAAAATAATTAAAATAACTCTGGTATTGTGTCATAACTCGTTGGATAAAGCGTATGTAATGAATACATTATAAATATATTCATATAAGTATTAAATCCGTCTGGAGTTGAGTCTGAGGTGAGCTTTATAACGTGATCATGTCATAAAGCTCACCAATTTATTAGAAAGATAAATAACGGGCCCTGCGTGCAGAATAAATTAAGATTGCTGCTTATGATTTGCATAAAATACCTCGACAACTGACCCAACTAATATAAAATCTAAGGTAGTTCCACTTATAAAAAAATACACTAGATTTACTCACTGATAAATCAAACAATGTCAATGCTGTCCACAACGTTTCAAGCCTATTCAATCAATATTCAGGTGAGGTCCAAATAAGAATACACCATAGCATTTTACAATAGATGCGTATAATTTATGGTATAAAAAATCCTGGCTATGTGAGTTCAAGGTTAGATTGGATGTTAATGAACATTGAATATGTATGTAATTGATCGGCGAAACGTGCCCGAACAACAATAATAGGGTAATTGTCACGTACACTTGGAGACAATATTGAATTTACCTTTGAATGAACGCAAAACATTCCAACAAAATATCGAAAATATTTCTGATAGCGGCTTAACGATGATGACCCAAGGTATTCAAACCCCATACCCAGATGAGGGAATGTTCTTGAAACGAGTGTGAACAGTACTGGGAATAAAATTGAATGATCACCTTCTGGGATACTTAAAACCGTATTAAGGTGGAAATTTTATTTATAATGTTGCCTTCATTTGATACAAGACAATTGAAAATAGGTTTGGAAAGAAATTGTTTATTATAGGCAGGTTTAGTTAAGTTGGGGAAAAATTTCCTGCCCGGAGAGTAATCGAAAAGTTCAAGTTGTGTTTGGCTGGAAATTTATTAGAAAAGTTATATTATTCTAATTTCATTATTAAATTTACCATTTTATGTGCATTATATATATATATTTATATGTATACGAAAATTGTCTCTGCTAATACCTAAAAAGTTATAAATCGGCATACCTATATTCTTTAAGTGCACACGCGGCATTACAATAAATGGCAACGTTGTATTTAAACAATGACGACTCCTTTATTTCAGTTATTTTCCGCCATAATTTTACGAGAATGTTCCACCGTGCGCAGTAAACGAAACCAAGGCTATGCGAAGTTCTAGGCATGCGCCGCGCCGATTGTTCTAGAATTATTCGGAATTACAACGGACGCAAGGGGAATATTTGAAGTTCGATGTTTATTTTTAGACAAACTTTTTAAATTAACAATGATATAGAGGAAACATTTAAATATACAAAGATACAAACATTTAAGATGCATGTAAAAATCAGTTTTGAACAGTTAGAACTGTTGTATTTCTATAAATTGGTAGTAGAAGTTGCATTTGATTATTAAATTTAAATGAAGTACCTACTATGGTACTGAGGGACCACAAAGCTGAGAAATGTATTAATAACTGAAAAACCATGCTTTAAATCAATCTCATTTAGTTATAAAATGTTTCTTTTGGTTTCAGGTTGACATTCTACGCTCAAACGTGTAGGTAAGTTTTCTTTGAATATGTTTTGATTCGAGATATATAAAAATTGTTTGCACATTTTTGAACCATTTAAAATCTGGCGAATGGTTTAATAAAGGAAAAATACTAACGATATAAAGTATTTTTTACAATTGTTTATCAATTAATGTAGTTTTTACCGGCCAAAATGTATCAAAATGGTCTAAACACCAACATAACATGTGGTCTGCCAATAGAACTTTAATCAAGTTTTGATTCTGAGATAAATGAATCGCTTTTGCTTTAAATTAAAATCTGAACACTTCATTACAAAAACGATTCATTTCTCTCGAGATCCCTATGAGTGTTTGCCCATGTCATGTTAGTGTTTACACGATTTTTTTGCTTTTTTATTTTCTTTTTGAGGGGTTGAACAAAGACCTAAACATTACACGCTTAAAATTACTTTATTACAAACGCGATTCATTTATTTCATCCAGTGTGTACACACCTATTTCTATTATTCTTTTATAGTTTATCCGTCGTTTGGGATAATTAAAAAATAATAATTTTACGAAATCGTTGATCCTTGACTATGTTCTATATTTTTGCAAAGTAAATAATGGAAAAATTATCTTTTGAACAAGTTATACCTTACAAATACGGTCTTGAGGAGCGGAGCTGAAAAATTAATTGAGTAACTGGAGATATATATTTTTTAAATTTAATATAATTTGCATACAGTTGACGCAAGTTTTTCAAATCAAAGAATTTTGGGACAATCAGCATTCTAATTTGATTTCGTGAGCGCATTTCTACCATTTGCCTTAAGGGCCAACACTTGCATTAAAGAGCTTTTTACTGTAAATTTCCTTTAATCCAATCCATACGATTTATGTTGTAACATTGATAAAAAAGTGGATATCTTTGGAGCCGACAAGTTTTAAGAAAACAGAAAAAATCAATTTAATCTCATTTGTGATGTACTGCAGAGGAAAAACTAAAAATATGTTGCCTGCAAGCAACTCGAAAACATCGGCTATCAGTAATGAATAATAATTACTTATATCGGAAGGGGTTGGAGAAAGAAGCTTTACTCAATAGGATTTAAAACGTTTTAAACTGATCCTTACCTTCCAACTAACATAGTATATAATATCACTCCAATCGACCACATATCGGCTCCTTTACCGGAATATTGTCCCGTTTCTAATATTTCCGGACTAACGTAGGCCGGACAGCCTCTTTTGTCGTGTAGCCAATCCAATTCGGGTTCAACTAATACAACCGCATCTTCAAACGATTCCAGTTTCAGCTGCGTTCTGCAACAGAAACAAACATTTGTTAAAGCAAACACTAATATTGTCAACAAGTTTAAACATCATGATTGATTTTGTTTTTTTATGGTGATTACAACATCATTAGGAAATTCCTTTGTAATTTAAATATGTGGTTGTGTGGTAACATCATTGAAGCAAAATTTCGTTGCCCAATTATTGAACATAATGGGGCCCATTGCGACAATTGATCTCCACATCCTCAATTGCTCAATTTCAGTTTTGAATCGAATCATATCTCGATAGGTTGCGCAAAGTGAATACAATATGAAATTCGACATGAGAATGATGGTGACAAATTGGTTTGGTTTTTTGGGTGTGGACCATTGGCTTTTGTGAAATCATCGCTCCTAAACTGTAGAGGAATTTAAATATTTAGCGGTTGAAGCTGAAACAATTAACATTAGGAAGGGCCATTTTACATTTCAAGTGCATTCTTGCACGTTGGTGGTTTGCGGAATTGTGTACTAAAAACTCGTTAGTATGTTTACTATAATCATTAGACTTTTTACGAAGTGAGACGATTATTTAATGACGCGCTTAATGGGTAAACACAGGTTACGTGCCTAGAGTCAAACCACAAAACTGCGCAGTCAGATTACTAAAAATTGCACAACTTTTTCCATGGAAATCAGAATCTCTATATTCCCATCTTTTATGTCCATTTTAATAGCCCATTGCAAATTCTTCTACAAATAACTATTGCGCATTAATTATTTCCAATTGAAATGTTCGATTTACATACGTCTAATTGCGTCCTAAGAATTTGAAAAATTAGTTTTGCAATCAAACATTTTTAAAAGCATTGGACTTAAATTTGGACAATAGAACATTGACACACATTTTTCCTAAAAGTGTTTTGATTGCCTTTTAAATACAACTCAAATTCACAAACAAGTAAATATTGTTTTGTTTGTGGCAGACTACGTGCCCGGCGTGAGATCACCCTAATGCGAAAATCCCTATCAATTGTGCAACATTGTGGTAGATGAGAATTTAATTAAATGTAGGGACGATATCTCAACAACAGACTGTGTGCTTTGTTGTTGAAATCAATAAGCCGTTTATTTTATAAGCTCTGTATCTAATGTAAATTAATGTTGAAGGAAATAACGCATTAAGAATGTCTATTTGAAAGCTTTTTACATCACCAACGATAACAATAAACAACTTTGTTTTTGTTGCATTTAATTAAGTTTTCTTGATTTTGTTTGTCACTGAACTAGAAAAACATCAACAATCTATTGATTTGCCACTTATTTAATTTTCGTAACGGGAATTGCCTTCGTTGAGCTGCCACCAGCTGCCACTTTCTTGGGTTAAACTTTAGCATAATAATGCCTAAGCGTGTACGAATCCCATGTAGGGTTATTGCAAATAATGGTAAATAATCTTATACTATTTCCGAACAGATGGTGTCGAGCAACTAATAGGTACACTTAAGGTATTTATTGCAAAGCATGTACGAAAAATAGTTGCAATAACTAGATAAATTTATTTAAACATACAAACTGTTCGATCATCACGGTCCAATTATTACTTAGCATTTTTAGTGGGTTCTTTAAAAATAATCTGTAATCGGTACCTGTTGCTGGACCCTGTACACGTTTGAATAAAAACTACCAGTGGCTGAAGAGGCAAGTACAGGGATCCGAATCATTAACGATTACATAAATATAAACATTTGCGGGCTGCAGTAAAAAAGTGGCAAAAAACTGGTCGGACGGGTTACCAGCAAAACAAAGACTTTTTGCTTGCGGTTCAAAAATTTATTGACCCCGAAAACGGTGCGTAATTCGGTGGGTCGAAAAGATCGGACATGGAGAATGCGGCCCAGAGTAGACGAATGGAATTCCTTATTGAACATTGTAAAACGATCGATTATTAGTTCTTTGTTGATGTAAATTTACTTTTAGATGTCAAGGCATATTCGTTTATTATATTGCAACCTCAATCCAAGCTTCTTTGTTCGTGTTTTTGTTATAAATGCTAAATGAGACTTAAATTGTTATCAAATGAGTTTTTCCTCATAAGCAGAACACATCAGCACATTGAACTAATTTAAGAACTTTAATATTTAGCAGCTGAGCTGAGGGTTAAGGAAACGCGTTATATTCGAATATTAGTGCGGCAATAATTGTGATTATAATTCAAAAATAAGGATCGGGAAATTAACGGAGTAACCACTAGAAAAAATATAATTAAAAACAAAACACTAATTAAATCGTTGGCTCATTGCATTAAATCTACAAAGCTCTAGCAGTTTAGGTACGAAAACAAAAGTATAATTTATATCAACCATTTCATTTTTTATTTGCTGTTTTAACCCCATTAAATGCAATAGATGCAATTTTGGAAAATGCCATATAAATATTAACAATAACAGCAATACCAAAAATTTTTTTACGTACTTACTTAAACTTTACGTTAAACGCAATTTGAGTCATAGTTCTTTCAACATTTATGGTTGCATTATTACACTGATGTTTTTCTCATTTTTTTTAGTTTGTTATCAATATTCAGCAATAATTAACATTAACGAACAAATGCATTTGTAGCTTGCGACAATCACTTTTAATTAGCACTTGCAAAATTCTCAAATGCATACATTAAAATGCAAATTCAGGTTACGTACTAGAATCTACATATGGACGGCATATTTTCAGGTAAACATTTGATATCACGTCCTGCAATTCTCAACGTGCTGAAAAAACATTGTACCCATAAGAACGCTAGTGTCCAAGTAACAACGTTGGTTGCCTTAAAAGAGCATATTTCTTCCTGTTAAAACTCGTTTGCGAACAACTGGTCTAGGATAGTCACGGCATACAAGTTCAGACAAGTCTGCAAAATTATTTTGGCTTGAACGATGGGTCAACAGCCTGAAGATTCTATAAAGATCAAGCTTTACGTTTACCTGTTTTTGGATCGAAAGAACGTGAAACGTGAACTTCTTCTAATTAAGGAACGCTTTAAATCATCATTATTACTAGTCGTGAATGGCATTGTTTTGCTTAAAAACTGTTACATGAATTTTGCTTCTACAAGTTCGAGTTGTCCTTGTATCGTCAATTGCTCGTTGTTCATTGACTGGGGACCAAGATTCTCATTTATTTATTTATTGATTTAAGATTTATTTCCCATCGCATGGCCATCGGGTTGCTTCGATATAAATTCCATTATTACTTCATTAGCAAAACATCATGCACAATCAGTACAGTATGTTGTTCGATAAAAAAATGAATGGCATGAAACAAAGAAGACATAATTACATCCTTGTCCACATGTCTTGAATAAAATCATTTTCTTAACTTCAAATTGAAAACTGCATTTTATTGATGCATAAATTGACGTATATTATTTCATTAATCTATTGTGGCTTTGCTTTTCGCAATACTTTTTCGATAAATCTCCAACGACTAATTATAGCACGACTAAATTCGCAAAGAAATAAGCCACTTAAAATGATCAATTAAGCTACAGTTGCCAATTGCTCCCAAAGCCAGCTTCTTATATCTTAATCAATACCAATTAAGAGCACTGGTGGCATCTTTAGTGCTGGTCGCTTAAGCAGAAATATTAGCAATAATACTAATTACTTTCTTTAATAACCTGGTTCAGTCGTGGAAAGTAAATTGAGAAATAAGAAAAATAAAACAGGTGACCTTATCTTATTGCACCTACTTAGATGGCAGTAGAAATAAAAATAATTTATTTCGACTGGGAACTGTTTAATTATCCATGCGTAAGTTAAATACTATTTGGTATTCTTTGCTTGCCATCAGTCAGGAACATCTAAAAAGACACACCCAACGAAGTAATGCAGGAAAAGACAAGTTGCAACCGCTTCTTTAATGTATTAAAATATAATCAAACTGATCTTGCTACTTATTGTGGACACGTTTCTGCTTATGAAAACGGGTTCACAAAGCATTGGTCTAGAATAGTCACGGTTTGCAAGTACAGAAGAGCTTCAACGATGCTAAAGTACATTAACTATAAACGATAGGTCGGTCGGTCGGTCAATAGCCTACACAGCTTTAGAAGGTTTACGTTAAGGTTTGCTATAGCTCGACTAAAAAGAAACAGAAACGTGAAAAATGATGGGCTTTTATGAGAAATTTAAAATGGAAAAAAGTGGCTTCAAGCTCGAGCTGTTCTTCCATTACCAGTTATTTACAGCGGATTAAGTGAGTCATTATTTGCTTGAATCTGCAGTTATACTCAGACAGCGTTTTTTGCATTTTCAAGGTGATTTGGCTGCGAAACGATGCCCATTTTGTCTATCGATCTTTTGCAATGTTTTTGATCTTCCAATAAGCACAGGATTACACATGGTTCATGTTTTCCTTCATTAGACTACAGTATATGTATGACGAGTAGTACACGAGGCATTACTGATGTGTCCAGAAGATTTTTCTTTCGTCTTCAATCAACTTTGTGTTTGGACCAATACTTCAAATAAACCGTGCATTATATTCTTGATGGACAGAGACTATTGTTTATATCGTGTGCATATCTGTGCTTTGGATTATTTTGTCAACTAATCATTTATTGTTATAGAACTATTATTATTGACACAATTTTAAACAGATCGCTGATAAACAAATAGACGTATTGAAATAAGCAATTAGAAAATTAAATTTTTAATAATAGATAGTATTCGATTCACGCATTGTATTATAATTAATCGTTATTCAACGAGATTAATAGCAATTTTGTAACATTTAGGTGCCTACGCAGTGAGATAATACGATTTCCAAACGCCACACATGCACGGAACGCTGGAAGATTGCAAAACAACATTTTCGACATGTGTGTACTCTCTTATCTTGATCCCATTTCGCAAAAAGTTCGAAATATTCGTCCTAGGATAGATAACAGTTTTACACCTTGGTGCACGCTCTATCGTATTCACAGGAATATCCCATGCACATTTTCGGTCCCCGGGCGACTTAAGATAAGACAAATAACGAATGGTTACAGTTTTTAAAATAAATTCAACTTGCAAATATGTCTATTCTTTAGATAAATATGTCTAGAGAATAAAAACATGTTGTCTCATATTGTCAATAAACATAATTTCGAGAACAATTCAACATGACGAGTTTTTAATGATAGATAATTAAATAATCGATAACACGTATAAATAGATGTAGAGTTACGTGACAACATTCAGACAATAACTGCAAACATTTGTATAATTTGCAAAAAAATAAAAAGGAATTGGCTAGATTCTCTTATTATTAGCTCAATTATTCTCGGTTTTTGAAAGTTGGAAAAAATACAAAAGCGCATTTTTCATTATATTCCGCCGAACAACTAGCAGAATTATTGTTTTATAGTGATATCCTGATACTTTTGTCTGCCGATCTAATGTATGCAAATAATTTATTGCCAAGTTAACTTTAATGCAACGGTAGTTATTACTGTATAAGTTACTAAACTGACAACAAAAAGCTGCTAATAAATTTTCACATATCTAATTACGTATGTACACATTTTCTATATGGAAATGACTTATATTGTAAATCAACTATAATAAATTTAGCTGTAGGAAATAACTGGGGACAAATCCGATATACGTTTTTGAACAAAATGAAATCAAAGAAAAAACTAATCTGGGCATTCAGGATGATCTAAAACTGACGGAATTCCTTTGGAAGATTGCAGGGATTACAGAAAAAATAGCTCAAAAATAATTCGGAAAAGAAACTGAGATATAAGCAAAAAAAATAATTAATAATTTTGCAACAATGTTGCTGCAGCTAAATTGACAAAGGCAACAGATGAAATTAAAACAAAACGGACCATTTTTCTGATGAAACTGTAAATGCGTTACTCTCTTTTCTCATCTGATTATTTGAGCAGAAGTTTCAAAATTTAGTTTTTCAATTCAATTTCTACTCAAAGATATAAAATCTGCAATCAATGTAAACTCTCATTACATGAGTTTTATCACTTCACAACATTAGTTATCATTGTTCAAGTTTCTGGTGAAAAAAGTTGAAAAAGTCGTAGAGAAGCAGCTGTTTTTCAAACTGTTACAGCTTGCTAGGGAGTTTGTTCAAAAGTTCGAGGTGAAGAAAAATCTGAGCAAAAACTTTCCATGCTTGGTTTTGGCGCTTGTTTTATCAAACACAACATGCTCTAGATCGTTGCTCATGAGTTTTCTCACATTTTCCTACATTATTTCAGTATCTTCTTTCAGTTGTAAGCTGTCCAGCGCGTTGTATAAGTAGAAAATGTACATATTATATTTAGAGGCTGCTCAAGGGGTAAACTTTATGCACGTTGGACATTGCTATACATTTTAAGTTTAGAAAAGCAACAGCAAAATTGAAAGTTAATCTTCAAGAGTCTTAATTTTTCTCCCAGACGCTCCAAGTATGTCGCAGTAACCCTATAGGAGGGATGCGCCCAGTTCTGAATCACCCTGTATAGTGAAGTTCTATAAAATCTTTTTTGAGTTATTATTTGTGATTGGATTTAATAAGAAATAATGTCTCTTACAGGTTTGAGAGCAAATATTGAGATTAGGGCAAGTTGGGAAACATAAATAGAAAGATCAACGAGTTGTGCAATACCTGTACTGAGCATTTTAAACTGTTTGCACATATCTGAAAAATATAGTCAATATTGGACTTATCTTAATCAAACATGCATTATTGGGAAATGTTTAAATCATTGATAAAAAAACCAAAAGTACAAAAATAAGTTAACTGATATGCGAAACTGAAAGGAAATACTCATCAGCTGAAATGTTAGAAATTATGAAAGGATCACAAAACACACCAGATTTGAATAAGTCGTTTGCTTTCAATTTTGCTAACTCGTTATCTAGATTATCCTCATTTCCATATTCTTGCCATCAAGCACAAAGCTGCGAAATACATTTCTAATCCAATTTCCATATTGCGTACTTCATTAGCTTGAAAGTATCTCTTTTGCACAATAGACTCTAAAACTGGCACTGGAAAAGATTGGCAACACCTTCTGTCTGTATATACACGTATGTACATAATATTGATTTTATTTTTGTTCCCTACATTCAAGCAGAGACCGAGCCACTTGCAACACTCAGAGATTTGCCAATCTCAAGTAGGTGCCAGATTTTAACGATATTTTCAATGACCGGGTCGTATTTAGAATTCTGTTTTGAAACACGACCATTATGTTTGTTATAGGTACTCGGCGAAATCGCTTTGCAATACCAAATTGGTACGTTACAGGTATGGTTGCAATATTTCCCTCATTAATAATAAAACCGTATATCTAAATAATGGCACACATAATACAAAACCAATAAGCTCAAATGGGCTTTCATGTTTAAATTACTTCTAAACCTTTTTTATACCTGATTATTAAGAAAGCAATATTATAAATTTTAAATACAATTAACTATATTTATTTTTTTTATATTATAATAAAAAGTTATTAAAAACGTTCAAATTTTGTCAAACTTTACCGATTCTTGACTATTTTTAGTTGAAATAGTTTTGTTATTGTAGGTAGGTACCTTTCATTTTATTAATCATCAATACGTTCGTTTAACCAGCGTATCTATAAACCTTTTTCTATGGATGTTTTATCCACGTATTAAAGTAAAATATACCCTGCGCCCCACATTTAACGTAAAGCTTAAATATTCCCTAACTTTTGACTGTAAATATTTTACTCAGGACTTGATTTAATTTTAATAGATTTTTTTATCGAATCATAGCATTATACTCATGCACAAAATCTATGTTATGCGATAAGCAAAAACATCTGCGAACAATATGGGGTTGCTCAGAGAGAAAAAAACGGCATTCGATGTTATAGCCTGATGTCTTCTGAGTAATTTGGTTCTTTAATCGTCTGTTAACTTGAGCTATTCGAGAAATATAATTGTTTCTATAAGCGGTAACATTTTCCTCGCAAAATTAAACTTATTTTAATTTGCGAAGAAATTTTCGGACAAAACGGCTGTTCGAAAAACATATCATTACAAGTTGATAGCTCTGTTTACTTTGTCACTCTATGTGCTCTTTCAGCTAAGTTGGTAACGTTTTTGCTTTCCTAAGGATAGGGTGTTCTTATTTTCAGGCCTATGGATATTGTTTTTTATTTTATTTCTTTGCGAAATGACAGGGCCACAAAATAAATAAAGTTTTAACTGGTAAACAACTTTTGGTTGCACAGTTTTCTTGGGAATAACAAGAAAAGTTGTGAGAAATGTGACAGATCATAAAAAAACGAATATATCTCAAGAATGTGAAGTTTGTATGAAATGTACAAGAATTGAGCTATGATTCGGTAAAAAAGCTATTGAAATCGGAGCATGAATGCAAAAATTTTAACAGTGAAAGGTTAGTAAATATTTAAAATATGGGATCAATTTGCAGTGCAGTGTATAAAGTTAAGTAAGCTAAACTAATAATAAAAAGATCATTTCCATCAAAATGTTTTTCTTGGTTTTTGAGATCACATTGCAGATAAGATTTCCGAGAAATACAGTAAAATTGGTTGTAAAATTCTCCCATTTATTAACAAGTACTTGACGTTTTTACCGATTGGCAATAATCAATTACATAAATGTGTATATCTAGATATGCATTTCGTGGAGATGAATGTTGAAATGTGCATGCGCATATATACACCTAATGCAGTTGCAATAGATTTTATTTTTACACAATTGTAACTGATTTATAATGATTCAATTTCATATTGACCCAGTTTGTGGTAACCTTGCCTTGAAGCGAGAAAAATCGGATTTTTAATAAACCAACGTGCGACTGGAATTAATGAGACAATCTTAATCAATGGAAAATCATTGAAAGTGTAGGATGCGTGCATTTATATCGCTCTAACACAAACGAATTGTTTAATTTCAGTTGTAGGTATTTGTCAAATTTGAAATTCGCACGATGCGTTTAGTTTTAGTACAGAGTAAAGGCGGTCAAAATACTGTTGTGATAGATGAGGAAAGCTTTGTAGTAGTTTGGGTAACAATTTCCACGTGTAAGTTACACGTGGAAATTGCCTCGATTTTGTCATGATTTTTTAATTTTTAGTCATTGACAATGAAATGGCTTCTGTTTAAGATTTTCAATTTCAAATGTAGTTTAAATAATTAAACCGCTCATTTTGGGCCATGGACGATTACGTATGATGAAAATTGCCATAAAAAAGCAACAGTTGAAATTCTTTTTCCATTCATTTTGCTACACATGCAGTTAGAAAAATTGTGAACTTGATAAAAATAATTAAGTCTATTGAATCCGTAGTGTTTTGCATTTGCTCAAGATTAACACAATTTATTTGTTTTTTCTTTCTGTTTGTTTCAGTTTATTATGCGATCCGAAATCATCTTTAATATCTCAAAATCCGTCCAGTGCTTAGCAGCCAACATTTGAAGATTTTACTATTTTCTGGAATTTCAAAAATTATCTCTCGTTACCTTTGCTACCTCTTTGCAGATGGTTGACGAAACATTAGATTTTATGGACAAATACCTTTCTGTTGGTGTTGCTTTATTTGTGAACTTACTCCACTTTTCCTGTTACTTATCTATTAATCTTTCCTTTTGATTTTTCGGTTTTTTAAAGAAAATACTTTAACTATAAAATTCTGTTAATTTGGCAGACGTAAATAATGAAACCATTTGCAGCTGCTTAAAAGCCTTGCGTCGATCGGCGCCTGAAAGCAAATTACGAAAACTGCACAGCATTTTAAGCAACTGGTTATATGATGGTGCTTTCTTGCGCTTAATTTGGCCGATTTGTTATTACATGGAGAAAAGCAATCCAAACATCAAATCCAATTTTCTTATGTAAATACAAAAATAATGGTGCAATTTAAATTTTTATTACTTACGAAGAGAACACCGTCGAATTGCAATCAATCTGTCGACTGCTTGAAAACATTCGACACGGTTATTACTTTAAGGAAACAAATACGAAATGCAGAATAACACGCAGCTCCCGAAGACATGAAAAGGCTATTTGCCTCTAGGCCGAGCACCAAATAAAATAAGCCAGTCTGGAGCCATTTGCAAAACAAAATAAATCCTCTTGATTCAATCGCTAGTCTACCGTATGGCTTTGCAGTGCTCAATCGCTGTCATCTTCATTTCAAGGCCTTGGTGGGAAGGTCCTGAGGCGTGCGGCATCGATCACGGAAGTCTTCGGCAGCAGCCTTGGCCGCCGCACCAGCCTGATCTAGCTCCAGTCGATGACTTCGGCGGTCGCGCGCAATCTGGGGCACTTCCGCATATCTATGCGCTATTATAACTACTAACTACATGTTAATAGTATTTGGCCTAGACGAGGACGCTGTTGTGTTTTCCGCGAATCCATCGGACATGTAATGTGCGAGAAGTCCATTAAGTTTAACTTAAAAACGGAATGTCTTGCCTTTGCCATCGAGTATACGAATATTTTTTCAGTCTGATCTCGTTTCCAAGTATACAATAATGGGTACAAAATATCAGGATTCCACCCAACTTCCCTTGCTGTTATCAACAAAGTTGCAACATTTGAGGAAATTTCGCTTTTCAAAGTTTGCTTTTAAAATTATTGCATTTTTAGGGGGAGCTACTGGGTTACTTGCGTCTACGCGTTTTCAATTAAATAAAATCAGCTTTGTAAACAGCAAATTAAACAATTGACGATTAATTACATTTCTTCATAAAATGTAATTTATTTACGACTTAAGTAATAAAAAACGCTAGTTAAATGGATAATAATTTTTCAAATAGGATTATGTCGACATAGCTAAGACGAATATTGAAGCAAATTCAAAACAAGAAAAGAAAGAAACAAGAATGGGGTTTTATTTTGTTTTTTTGGAGAAGACTATAAGAAACTGAAACAACTCAGAACAACTATCAAACAAGTTAAATTGATACACTGAAAAGGTACAGTGATTCGTAAAATTGCAGATCTTTGTTTTTGTCTCGCTCTAATTTTATCAGAAATAAATACTAAATTGGATGCCCTTATTATATCCGATCTCAAAACAATATCTACATGAACCACTTCTTTCTCATCTACGAATTATTTCAATTTATTGTTTCTCCTTTGCATATAAAGATACGACTTCCAGCGGTTATCAAAGATTAGTGAAAATATTTCCTATGGACCATTACTTTTTGACATTATTAATTAAACGCCTTGTATAATAATAATCGATGTTATTCTTCAATTGACTTTCGTATTACAAAGATGCTTAGATAAAAGCTGGCAAGATTTATGTGCAAATTCTAAGTGTTCTAGTATTCCTCTCGTGATTAATATTAGAATCATTCTTTTCATTATCTGCTTATTTTTTTGCCTAAAACTGTCTAAATCACTTTGTAGTCAGTGGAAAGTGTTGGTCGATTCTTTGATTCTTGAATAATTTTAATTGATGTCAACATTTGCTTTCAAGAAAAGTAAATTTTGTGCGAGATTTTCAATTGGAATAATTTTGTTAAACAAAACTGTTTTCAAATTATATTTTTCTCTTCGCTCTCGCTTTCATCCTATTCTATCCTTTGAGTGTGTATAAAACATTTAACTCCATAAATCGCTATATAACTGCAGAAGACTTAAAAAATAAAAAGGTAATAATTTTATAAAAATAAATCATCATACTATTGGTAACAGCTCTATATTAAGAGAGTAAATCAGCCTCAATCAGACACAAGCATACAAAACTACAAAAAGTAAACTTTTCTAATGAATGTTTTTCATGTTTAATCAAGCAATAAGCAGTCAAGGGTGTGGTTTGCAAAATGTTAGAACAAACACACCTGGTACTGCGGATTATACCAAGATTCGGAAAATTGTTGGCCAATAATTAAGATAAAGCTTTGTCAACATCGTCAAACTTTGGATTTGGCTAAGACATACAGTAAGCTTTTAAATAGATTGAGGAACTGATAAAATCGTGAAAAATGACCACACATTGCACAGAATTCTGTTCGTGTGTAAAAAATAATATTTCAGCTCGCAACCCATACCAATTATAATAATAATTTTGATTTAATACAATTGATATTAACATCATAAGTAATCGTTCAATAATTTGGGTTTTTGATAAAAAAATACTTAGGACGTAAGTGTATAATGCGCACAATTTCAATACCGAACACATAAAGTAGATAATGATTTAAAAAAACGTATAGGTTTCGAAATAGATATGGAAAAATCATTACTGCTTGAATATTGCCACAAACCCGACTCAAATAGTAAGGATTATTGGGAATTTTGTTCATCAACACTTAATTAATTGGAATGTCGATAAATATGCAATCATATCTGGTAATTACATTGAAATATAGTTGCTTCATTTTTATCTGCACATAATTTCATGCAAACAAACGGCATTTTTACTCTTTTGAATATATTTGCGCAATAGTACTTGATGCTTGTATTAAGTATTAAGGGCTCCAAACTTTCTACTTGCTCTTTGCTCAAAAATTCTATACTCGTTTATTTGATTACTGTTTATTCAATCAATACAGTTGGAAATGTGAAAATTGCTTTTCTGCTTCCTTCTCTGTGTGTGAATGAAACGAATACATGCTACTGACCGCGAATGTACTATATGAATCTTTCTCTCTTGACCTCCTTTAATAAGGTATGAAGAAATTTTGGATTCGCATGGGGTCAGGCGAGGTCGCTTAATAACGGAAACGTTTACGAAATCGCGATGTACAAACACTTCTTAATTAATTTGGACATAAATGATCATCTCGTACATGTCACGCAAGATTAAGAATATTTAAAATGTAGCAAGACACTAGCTGCTTTTAGATTTGATGAAGAAATTCAATTGAGATTCCGCTTTTAGATGTTTGAAGTAATGGCGAAATTTGGTGATTGACAGAAAATTTTATATTCTGGCTTATCTTGTGCGATAAAATTTATGGAAACTGCTACATCTTGGAAATCTCTAAACTAGTTTTTTTTTAAGATTCAGTTTTCGATTTTAATCTTATAATTATTGCGAAAACTGCCGTTTATGTAAACACGATATCGCAAAAGAAATGTGAAATGTGTGAAGGTTCATTGACTTGGCGAACGACCCAGCTAAATAAATTCACGATACCTTCGTATATCTAGGTTGAAGCGTCTTGTTTTGATAAAAAAAAGCGGATATGACCTCAAATCGTTGATAATTAGCATGCCGACTTTGAATTTTGAGGTATAGTCGATATGCTAATCTGTGAAATGCTTTTATGACGATATGAATGCCCAATATATGGTAACTCCATTAATATGGGTATACCCATTGTTAATAAATTTTTAGTTGTTTAATTAAACCATTAAAACAGTCGAGCTTTTTGCAATTTAACTTGGCTCATTTGCATATTCTTACAGTAGTACATTTGGAAAACTTCGGTTCTGATGACAACATCTGGTTTCAAAAATAAATATGTTAAATTTTTCCACAAGCTTAAAAATTATACGTCATAAATAAACGGTGAAATCCTAATTAATAAGAGTTAGAAAATTACCTCAGAGAGCAAATCTAAAGGCATCATGCAGTGCTTTATACACGCAGGATGAGCACACAATATACATAATACATTCGTTATATTTATTTCAATTAATTCTGCCAAAAGAATAATACTCTACGTTTATATTAATAAATACACAGTTTATTTAGCTTTAAATGTGTAAGTCAATGTATGGACAACGAAACATCCTACAGATAAAGAAACAAAGCGAAACAACTAGTAAATTAAATCCTTGTAAATGTGCCATTAAGAGACATTCTTGTGGTTCAAAAGCTAGTCGGGCTATCAGGGAATGTATCGTTCGATCAATTGTGTTATTTATAAAAGCAGAACAAAGCACTTCTAAAATTGTTCATTCAACAAAGTCTGGTAGTATTCTAGGAATTGTTCGTACCAACTAAACTTTTTTGTTGCGTTTTATTGCCTAAAAATTTTAGATTTTCTTGTAATAAATGCGCAGTAGCGTTGATCCTTTTCAACTAGTTTCAATGGGTATTTCATATGTAATTATGTTCTCTTTTATAATTTTATTATTGTTATTGAGGTAATTATAGAGAACGTAATTACTACTGGAAAAGATAATTGTAAAGTAATGATTAGTATAATTAAATTAACGCAAATGAGATCGCAAAAGCTTTTAGACATCAACCAATAATGGTTCTCTTTTACTCAATCAATTCTTGTCACAAATAAGACCCATAATTACCATCTGAGTAGCCAACAAGTTATTTTAATGATAAAACTCAATGTTCGAGGTGAAAACCATATGCAAAGCGGTTGTAAACATTTTATTCGGCAATTAAAAACAGCACAAAAACTAAAACCAGTTTTTCTGTCGGGTAAAAATTTAAGATTGATTTTATAATAAGCACTTTGTCATGTTTATGAAGTAATCTGTGAAATTCATCACCAATTACAGCTTACTGGCCATTGAAAATACTATTTTGTGATTTTCCATAAAAAAATTACAAACTTTCACGGCTTTCTGCTTCACAAATTCTCGTAATTTTTATCGCCTTTTGATAATATTACAGTCATTTTAAATCGAGGTTTGATGCACTTCCCCGTTGATCGCTTCCCACCCGATTTCTTTTCCCTTGGTTCGGAGTTCAAGTTTTCACTTTTACACAATTGACTTCTGTATGTACTTCGCTTTCAGACTATATGTTATTCAGCTGATGAGCGAATGCAACCTGAGTTGAGCCAATGCTTTCTATTGATGGGTTTTGAAGTCTTTGAACTTAAATCGGCTGGAATTGTTTTACCATCCGTTAAAAAATGCCGTTTGCTTTCCTTCTTCAACAATCTCAAACAATCCAGTTAATTAGGACAGAAAAAAACAATCAAAT